CTTCGGGTTGCGACCAATTCGGGTTGCGGCCAGAGTCACGGAACGAATTAAGTTCGTAACCCGAGGCGGAGTTTGCAAACCGAGGTAAATTTTTGCAGCCGGAGCTGGTCGTAACCCAATAAGTTCGTTAACAGAGGCGTTCGTAACCTGAGGTACCACTGTACAGGGACATCCTGGGAGGGAGGGGTGTCAAGTCAAGATGGCAGCGGCATGATACCCCCCCTTTTTTTATATATGTGCTGCATCACTCCTGTGGGTTGCTATTTTATTTCGCTGCTCGTGTAAAGCTGCCATTGCAGCTCCTTATCACTTACGAATCTCTGGCCACGTTGTGTAAATAATAAAACATGAAAAAGCGAAAACATTTGCTTAGATTCCTATCAATAAGGCAGCAGCCGCTCTCGCCTTTAAAGCAATTCCAGGGAATGTATTCTTTTTCTGAAGTAGGAAGGCATGGCTCAAGCTCTGCCTTTCCTTGCAGATTTAGGTCAAGAAATGAGGATTCTGGGCAACGAGCGCACCTGCCTCCTTCCTCTTCCCCGAGTCATCCAAGGTTGACACAAAATGGTCCTTTGTTGTACAAGAATACTTTCTGCACTGTATTGTCAGGGTACTGTTCGCACAACCTGGACCACCTGCTTGCTGAATCAACCCCATTTGCTGGGTTAGTCCAAGACATTGGACCATGAATTGGCCAACGTGCAAAAAGAAACCAGCCAAGTTTAGGAAGAAGATAGATTGAAGGAGAAATAGGTTAGGGGCCTAAAACAGGCAAGGACTTGGGGACCACTGGCCAGCCATCAGGTGATAACTGGGTAGGTTGGTGGCCAGTGACCTAGCAGTGTGGATCCCTTGGACCCTCTTAAGGTGAGGCAGCTCTAGTTAGGAAAGTTGGTATGCATCATACAGAAACTGGGCTTGTTGGATGGTATCTCCAGGCTAATCAAATTCTCTCTTGTTAGGTGAACATAGATGGTTGAACCACCTAGTTATCTGCTCTTCAGCCATCCAAGCTAAGGGTTTCTGGTCCAAACTAATCTAACTCCAACACTGCCCTTCCCATTCATGTCAGTCCAACATGTTATACTTGATAGACAATTGAGGTAGACCTGCTTTTTTATATATATACATATATATTGATCAGTAACTTCAGCATGTACAACCTGGTCTTCTGCTGTTGGTTTTTCAGGGTGTTCATGAATCAAAAGGAGTGACCGAAGATTATCTGAAGTTGGAAACTCTCTTGCAGAAGGTCGTTTCCCCTTACTTGGGGACGTACGGTTTGTACTCCAGTGATGGTGCAATCACACACTCTTCCTGCATTTTAGGTACTACTCATAGAACCTGGCAAATGGCAACATCTCCTCTTTATTTGTGTGGCTTCCTATCACTGGCAGTAGATTTCTCTAGGAGGTCTACAGCTGGAAATACGCATCATAAAAATTAAACAGCACAGTGATAAACATAATAGAAAATAATTGTATTAATACGGTATCATGGTAATCCGACAACATGTTTTACATGGCATCCTGTTCTTAACCACTGTGGTCTCCCAAGGCTTGTTTCAGAATTAAGTCAATCAGCTTTAGGCTTAGTAGCTTACTTGTCAGATACTTAGTACATGTCAGAAAACATCCTGAAACCTAATTCCTGATTTCATAAGCTTGCTTCTTTACATTTCAAAGTTGAGAAGCACGTGAAAATCGCTCTGCAGTGCCTGGAGAGGAAAAGTTCTTCTGTTCATGAAGGGCATGGACTGTAGAATTGAGAAAGCAGACTTTCCAGGTGGAAGAGGGATACTCCATAGTGGTGAAAGTGTTGGATTAGGAGCAAGGAGACCTGGGTTCAACCCTTTTTCAGTAGTGGAAAGTCTCTCTGCAACTTTGGACCTCAGTCTCTCTCCCAGGAGCCCAGGTGGGACAGTGGTGAAGGTGTTGAGCGAGGAGCAGGAAGACCCGGATTCTAGTCCACCCTCAGGCTCCCTGGTGACTTTGGGCCAGTCCCTCCCTCTCAGCCCGAGAACCAGGGTGCTGCACTGAAAGGGCTGGATTAGAAGTGGGGAGACCCAGGTTCTCATCTGTCCTCAGCCACGGGAATTCCCTGCACGACTTTGGGTTAGTTGCTCTCTCTTAGATCAACCTCTCTCACGGGGTGGTGGTTTGAGGAAAAAATAGGAGGAGGGAGTATGGAATAAAAGACGGAACACAAATAAATAAATAAAATAAAATAAATAAATAAATAAATACCCATCTCTTCCCGGGGATAATTTCATCTTCGCTAGCATTGATTCTCAAGGGAGTTAGACATGTGCAAACATACACACTTGTGCAAACTTCCTATGTAGGCGGCATGAGGTAGGGAGAAAAAGAAGACTACAAGGGAGAAAGCAAAACAGAAGAAAATCAAAATGCCCATCCCTTAAATGCTTGGCTGCCTGGTCTCTAGTTACGTCCTTTCTGAAAACTTCTCGTCAGTCAAAGAACGGTGCTTGTTCCAGGAAATGTATTCAGCTAGTGCCACCTAGTGGCCGCTCTGAAAAGAAGTTCCTGAAGCTAAAATGGTGTGGATCTACACCAGTTTCCGGATAGGAAACTACCAACGAGGTTGTGTTCCTTCAGGGAAGAACAGGATAAAACATACAACCGAACTAATAAAAAGGCGAAGTTAACAACTCCTGCACTAACAGACAGTAAACACCAGGCTTCTATTTGCAGAGGCCGAAAGTTAATATAAGGACTGGACGCAATGTTTGGAAGGTAGGCAGTACTGATCCACAGAGTCCTGGGAAGCGAAGATAATAAATAGGAGACTTCCTTCAGATTATGTGCTTTTGCTTCACGTCCAAGAGAGCCAGACAGGCCTTGGGCAGAACCAGATGCTCACAGGGGAAACAGGCCGGGCAAGATTAGCGAGGGAGATGGAAAGTGGGAAGGGAAAAAAAACACGGGAAGTTGAACGGTCAGGAAAAAACAGAGACAAATGTAAGAAAAGGAAGTTCACGCACTGTTTGAAGGAGCCATCCAAATAGTTGGGCGCAGACCTTTTGTGGTGGCTAGGGACAGAGTGAGGATTTTAATTGTTCTCTGTGTTTGTTAACAGAAAAACGCTTCTTTCGGCGCTCTAAATCAGGGGACATTCTTGCTAAGAATCCGGTGGTGAGATCCAAAAGTTACAACAACCCTTTGTTGACTCCCGTAGCCGAGTATGAAACGGAGGGGGCCGCCGCCAACGGCTCGGGCATCCGACGACACTCGGTTTCCGAAATGACCTCCTGCGCCGAGATGCCGGGCTACTCCAATCTCACGACCATCACGGACAGTGGATCCAAGAGCTCCATGCTCACCATGAAGATCCCCCCATCAGGAGAGCCCGAAAGGCTTTCGGCCGGCTCGGTGCAGTGCGTGTCTGACCAGTCGAAAGGACTCTTCTATCCCCGAGAGAACCCAGCCAGGGCGCTGGAGTTAGGCAGGGACTCAGACTTGCTTGCCATTGCCCCCACGGCCAGCCCTGAGAACATAGTGGACCAGATTTTAGAATCGATTGACTCCGATTCGGATGGCATTTTCATTGATTTTGGCCAAAACTGCTCTGGCTCGTCCGGATACAATATGGATGTGAGCAGGCAAAGCGTTGTCTGAAGGAGTTGCGCTTTGCAAATCCACCAGCCTCTTTTGGGTGGGTGGAGTAAGAACGTTGCCTGCCCTTCCAGGTCAGATAAAGAGGGTGTCCTCACCCCAGAGAAACGTGGATCATCCTGGCTTGGGAAAATGGTGGTACCGCTGAATCTTTGTTGTCAGGTTGCATCCGTTGTAGGCTAAGTTCATGAAGCAACATTGAGGTCCATCCGTGACCAGTCTGAGCTATGGGCACCCATGGAGCTCTGGTTGTGCAGCCAGGTTGAACTGAACCACAAAGAGTAGCAGGCCTGAGATATTGTCTGACCTTCAGCCTACTTTAATGTCCTGTAAAGGGGCCCCCTCCTCTTGCGATGTGACTTGCCAAAAGGGTGGCCTCCCATGATTGCATTCTTTCCTAGCGTTCTCCTGATTTCAGTGTTCAGCTCGCTGCCCGGCAGCTCCTTCCTCAGGATTGTGGGTCTTCTGCATTCCTGCAGGAGTCAGCAAACCGGAACCAAGTAGAAAAAGCAAGAGGTCAGTTGCCAGTTTGAGAAGCATCCGTGTCATTCTTTCAGTGGATATTCTTGATGTAGAGTAGGACTTGGATGACTTCCCAAAAGTCCTGGTGTGATAGTTTAGAACAGAAATAGGCAGCTTTTGAGGCTCAAGGACTGGACAAACTGGTGAATGATGAACTGGGACTAGCACAGATGTGTACACACACATATGTACACATATGCATATAACTAGCCACCCATGTGCAAAGCCTCTGTCCAAGCATTTGTGACACCACCAACTTTGCTGGAGAAGGACGTTGAAGTCCCCTCCTTGCCTGCCTATCCCCTCTTGACTTGTCACAGCCGCGGCCAGTTTTCAGAATGGGCCCTCTTGTTGCACAGCCCTTGCAACACTACAGTTCTCTCAAAGGAGGAGACAGTTGTGTTGCTGGGCCATCCAGAAAAGTTGCAGTAATCGCGGAGTCCCCTCTGTCAGGTCTCCATGGCTGGAAGATTCTCATTTACCCTTGTCTGAACAGTTGAGCCAGAATGCAGAGAATGTAAATCATCAGGGGGGACGAGATGGACTAGTAATAAGAGGAAACATCCTTTTGACAGGATGATATTGTAAGAGAGTGTGAGGGTTTCACAGCAGCCTGGGTTAACTTCTGAATTACCTTCTTCATTCATTCAAGGATCGACAACTATCATATGTGGCTCCCCTTTCCAGGAATTCAGTAAAAACGGGGCTTCTTGGTGTGTTTATCCTTATCTCACGGTGTCATAGCCAGAGGTAAATGCACAAAGAGAACTGCGACGTTGACAAGTTGGATCAGGGGCAAGTGCCTTGTTTTGGAAAGGGCGGGACTCAGGAGCACAGGTTCCTGCCACTAATAAGGGACATGGGTGCTTTCAGTCCCTGAGCACTACAAAGGCGGGAATCCTGGCTTGGACCCTTGGAAAGAGCAAATCTGGGATATCCCGGTGCTCCCCGACGTCAGACCGTTGATTGTATGAACTGATCTCTTGACAAGCTCCCACGATGGATACACAGAATGAGTTACCTCTGTGTCCCGGGGAAAGCAACGAGCGAAATTAAGCATGACGAACGTGAGTCTCGCTGAGTGAAATTATATTTAGACGGACCTCAGTTGTACTTAACAGTGTACAACGTCAAGCTTCAAGTGACGTTTGGTGGCTTGAAAACGGTATTTGTGGTGCTTCATCAGCAGTCCATTCATATTTGCCAGTCGGCGTTACCACCATCGTACATGCATGTGTGAAAAAGTCCCTAGCATACATGTTGGGGAGAAGCGTCATGTAAACATGCCCTCTTCCACCTCGCTGCCTTGGTAAGTTCCTAAATAGGAAACCATCTTATGGCAAACCATGTTAGAAAGTCCAGCTTTCCCATCAAGCTAACTACCATTGTCGCTGCTTCCCTTAACGCGAAACCCTGCTCTTCAAAAGATAAAATGTGTCTTCAGGCTGCAAAAGGAAGAAAGGGGTTTTTAATTTTTAAACCGTTGTTCCAAATATAATAGAAGTTGATTGATTTATAGCAGCTACTATTTTTTAATGACTCTCAGTACATCCACACTTCTTTCACCAATCAAGTGAAATTTGTAAAACTAATTTAAATAAATAGTGTGCTTGCTACTGAATATGGTTGACAGCCGGTGTCCAGAGTGTTTTTTTAGAAAGAAACAGGACAGGGTTTGTATCAGTGTGATCGTTATTCATTTATCTGTGTTACATGTGATTGGGGATCCAATGGAGATGACCCAAGGTGGTTTACAGCAGGGTCAATAAAATACACAACCACATAAACCAAAAAAAAAAACAACCCACAACACAAAATGTCTAACCCATAGCATTATTCCCCAAATGAAATAGTCCAGACCTAAAGATGGTTTAAAAGGTGGTCCAGAAGTACCATGACCACCACAACATCTGTTAGGACAGGATGGTTTTAACTGCCGCTACAGAAGGCCAAGTGAACCTCATAAGTTGCTCCACAGTGTTGGGGTCCCTTCTGAGAAGGCTGCCTCCAAATCCCCACTGCCCCATACTCTTGTGGGTGAGGAACAGGATGGGCTGATCCTAGTTGGAAGAGGTGGCCCTGAAGGGGGAGTTGATGGGTTAACTCCAGCACTTTAAATCCAGCCTGGAAATGGATGGCTATGGGCACAGCGACTGCCACCCTGGTGCTAAATGACTTACCCTTGCCATCACCACCTGGAGCAACTGCAGCTTCTGGATCATCTTCAAAGGCAGTCCCATAGAGAGCGTGTTGCGGTAGTCTAAATGTGCAGTGATAGCGGCATGAGTCACCGTCATCCATGGCCTCCATGTGCTGCTAAAGCAAGAGCTGTGAGTGCAGGGTTTCTCTGCGTCTTGCTTCTGAACACTTTCACCTCTTGTTTCCTTGTGGATGGCCAGCAGTGCAAGGCCAAGGCCATCTTGGGAAACATTAACAGGAGCATGGGGTCCTCCCCAAAAGTGGGGGGGGGGATAAATAATTGTTCTCTACTCTGCTCAGGTCAGACTCTACTTGGAATATTGTGTCCTGTTCTGATGCCACTGTTCAAAAAGGACAGTGACGCATTGGAGCAAGTCTAGAGAAGGGCTACCAAGATGGGAAGGGATCTGGAAACCAACCCCTGTGTGCAATGGTTGAAGGATCTGAGTATATTTACTCTACAGAAGAGGAGAGATACGATAGTCGTCTTCCAATACCTGAATGGTTGTCAGACAGAAGAGGGAGGGTGCTTAAACTATATTGCCAGGGGACTGGGCCCAGAACAAATGAGTTTAAATTCCAAGGAAGGAGGTTCAGGTTAGACCTCAAGAGGGACTTGCCAACTGTATGAGCTGGCAGCCGGTAGAACAGGTGCCACATGAATGGTGAGTTCTCCCTCACTGGAGATCTTCAAACAGAGGGTGGCTGGACATCTCTCAGACATGCTCTTCTGGATCCTGCAGGAAGCAGGGGTTTACACTGGATGACCTCTAAGATTCCTTGTTCTGGCATCTTCTCAGAGTGGTTTTGAAAAGTGAAGTTCCTTCAGAGAGTCATGTTGTGTCACTGTTTTCAACACCATTCTGAGGAAGACCCAGAACAAGATGCTGAACCAGGATGCTCTCTGAGCCTTTTCGGTGAACTATTGGAGGAGAGGGGGAGCAGGCCATTTGGGTGATGGGCTGGGCAAAGATGGGGTGGGGGCTTTGCTTGTTACTATCTGGTGGCCCATTGTTGTTTACCAATTGGATCAACCATGTGCTCAGGATGATCTATTAATCCCTATGAACATGGAGACCATCCTAACCTAAACAGCACCTTGACTAGGGAAGAGCTCTATGGTGCCTTATGGACATTGTTTATCTTGCCTAATTTGATGACGGCAAGAAGAGATGGATTACTGGGGAGGACTTCCAAATTCATCTCATTTCTTGGTTACTGCTCACCTCCATCTCAAATCTTTAGCCTCCTTTGCCAGGACCTGCGTCTTGAAAACCTTTTGCCAGCGGAAGAGCTGGAACGAATTCCCATTCTCTTAATGTGATAGAACAAGACTCACTTTTGTATGTGTGTGACCAGTTGGGGTGTGCGTTGCAAGCATTGCAGAACAGACAAGAATGCAATCGATTGTATTTTTCCCACCCATGCATTTGCCTGCCAGGAAATCTGCATCTAATTCGTTTCTGCCAAGCAGGCAGAACTCACGCCTGAAGCGGCAGTCTTGATAGACATTGTTAGCTATAATTATCTTCCATTATTCTTGGTCTATTATGGATTTGTATTTTGGCATGAGTTTCTGGGCACAAGGAGGGAAACTCAATGAGCTGCATTGCTGAGATTAGCAGACGATTCTTGGCTGGTTGCAAAGCTCATTTGCTTTGATTGCGATTCCTCACAACAGCTTGGAATCACTTGAGCGTGCAGCAGGCCATCATTTGCTTCTACTGTAGTGACATCAAGGTGGGTTGGTATTGGTCTTTTAATCTGCATGTTGGTTTGTCTGCTTAACATTTAACACAGCACGGAGAACCTCAGTTGATGTCCAAGGGTCGAAATCTAGGAGGCACTGTTCTGTTGCCCAGATGCAACGCAAGTTTGGTTGAATGTAGGGATGTCCACCGTATGTGGTCAAAAACAGTCAAGGTAACAGCTGTGGCAGTGTGATCAATGGGTATCCCATTTTTTATGTGGGTTGTGTTTTTGTGTAAAAAAACAGGTGGAACGGACCTTCTTGACTCCTTTGACCGTACCCCACAGACACCTCTGGTTGAATGGTGGTCATGCCTTCCTAAACCTAATCTCATTCTGGGGATTAAGTTTCTGGGCCCAATAAACCCAGAAACAAAAAGCAAATTGTAATTCTTATGCCGCGACTAGAAAGAGTAGCCTTCTGTATAAAATGGAATTATTTTCCTCTTTGCTGAATGTTCAGGGCAGCATTCAAGCTCTGAATTCCTTACAGCAAAAAACGTATAAAGTGCTGCACGCATTCATTAGGCACAGTTACAGGATCAGAGACAGATTTTAATCTGATTGTGGTGTTTTATATTCTGGCCAGCACATCAAGAGTGAATTTCAGCAGGAAAAAAAATTATACAAACATTAAGACTATTGTTTTAAAATGGGCCCTTCTCCTTTTTGTACCCTGGACCCTTTTGAGAATCTGGTGAAATCTACAGATCCTTTCTCAGAAAAATGCTTTTAAATACATAAAATAAAATGCACACCTTTTGTACTACTTAGGAAACAAATTAAGCTCAATGCAGTCATCAATATTTATTGTTGTTTTATTGTGAACTTCCCAGAGTCACTTTTTCGTGAGATGGACAGTATCTAAATTTGAAATATAAATAAATAAATAAATATAAATAAATCAAAATATTTAAAAATAAGAAATATAGTAATATACATGTTCATTTATTAATATATTTGCGTATGATTCATATTGCAATAGTAATATATATGCTTCTTTATTAATCCATTAAATCAATAACAAGACAATGCCTTTTACAGGGCATAATCATGAGATTTCTTGAAATTAAAAACATTTTTGGAGTCTAGAGGCCATAAATTACTTCTTTGCCCACATTCTTTATTGAATGAAAAGGTACATTGAGTTAGAGGTTACTTAAAATAAAGGTGTAATTTTTTTTACCATCCAAGTTCACAGACCTTCTGAAATTTATCCTTTTTTAGGGCGGGGGGTGGACCCGAGGCTAAGCACTCCTGTTTCAACTGAAGTTAAAAG